GATGGACTAGCCTCATTAGGGCATACAGCGCGAATGAGTTTAACGGCGAAATTTATCATACTGACGGTTTACGATCCTCGCGTTATGCACCAAGTGGAGTATCTAGTCCATCGTTAGGAGTTTTTACGAGTGATTCTCCGAGAGGACAGTGAAAAGTTGGGACCTATTTTCTGACTATTCACTATCACGTAAGGGTACCATGAGAAAATTTTAAAACTGAAATGCTAATTTCATCCTGCCAATGAAGTCACTCCGTTGGAATGGTGATAGTTAAGTTGTATTTACTGGTAGTTGGTCAGCTGACTGTTGATTTGTTTTCCGAGTTTGCCAGCCGACTTGCGGGTGCTTCGTCGAGGAGACATTAATGTGAGCTGTTGGTTGGATAGTTCATCCCTCTGTGCTTGGACTTACATAGTTTTGAAAGAACAGCTTTAACTCTTGAACAAAGGCATGATATCAATGAGTCATGGCGGTGTGAGGAAGGGGAACCCTTATCGATAAGAACCGTCGGTAAGTATACGAAGAAATGAGGAATCGGCGCAGTAGATAATAGTGCAGCAAAATGAGTAGTATCGGAGGACATCTATGGGTTCATGTGGAGGAACGGGAACCGACAGGATAAAAAAATACGGTACTCGTCCAGTTGTGACACCCTTTCGCTGCCATGCCACCCAAAGGAAGCACTAGGACTGGAATACTACCACGTTGTCCAGGCCTAGACAGGGGAACTCAAGAGGCGGAGGTCGGGTTCGAACCAGGACCTTCCGGCCAGTAAATTCGCACTCTAACCACTTACAGTTGTTGTAAAGCGGAACAATTCCGCTTATTGGTTCATCTTTCGAAACGAACGGCGAATATTGGTGGTCAATGGTGGTAGCATCATTCTGTCGATGTTTTTATCTACCTACATGAAGCCAGCCAACCGGAACGACGCTATTCAGATCGTCTGGAAATGGTTCATTTGTAACCACTTCTCACTGTGTGACCAAGTGTCTCAAAATTGGTGAAAATACATTTTATCACGTCAACTGGTAACGAAAAGCGTGCGACCAAAATGCGCAGCTCAGTGGACATCACCACATTCATCTTCAGTGCTGATTGTAAAAACTTTTGAAACCAATACTTCCAAAGATGACAAGTACGGGAATGTTGACCGAGTCACTGTGCTCAACAACACTTGCAAACGTTAGCTTATTTGTCCTCTTTCCAACAAGTTCGTCCAACCCCCAATGTATAAACGACTCTTGGTCTTTGGTTTGTGCACTAAGCAGGGAAATTAATTTGATTGCAAACGTTTCATCACCAATCGAGGTGATATCATTGGTGCGCTGTTGGGGCACGTAGTGGTGCGTGGCAATGGGCCGGTGGCTGTGAGCAAGCACCATTCAAGCTACAGGAGCTACCACAATTTTCCTCTATAGGTAACCGATTTTTTCACTTTTTTCGAAATCCTACTAGGCTGGGGGTTTTGCAATCCTAGTCGAGGTCTGCCTAGCTTGACTCGTCTCATTATCCGGACCAATGTGTGGAATTAGAAAGCATGCATAAAATTGTTGCATGCTTAAAGCACTTTCAGTTGGGCACGTGAGCATCAATGCATGCAAGTCAGAACCAGAAAAAAGGTACCGCAATCTACTGTAAGACAGGAAATTTAATAATCATTATTTTTTTTACCTGAAGTACATGATAACCTCTTGGTGACAATACTACCTGATATTTTGACAGACGTTGAAGACACAAAAGAAACTACTCACAAGGTTGCTGAAAACTCTTTGACAGCCCACGACCGGTTTCACCCTTCTTGGAGCTCATCAGGTAGGCGCAGTCCCCGAGTTTCCGTCAACCTTATGATCTACTTGAACCCAAATTTGACTGTTTTTAAAAAAATAAACTCATTTGCAGATCGACTTGGTTTTCGCGAGCGACTCATAAACGAGAAATTCAGTTGAGATTCAGTCAGTGAAAACCAAATTGATTTGCAAATGAGTGTTTTTCTCGAAGACGTTGAAGACACTTAAATTCTAAGACTACATTTTTCAAGGCGATTAAACCCCATCTGAATAGTTCGCTACCTGTGGTGTGCCCACCAGCAGCGAGACTAATAAAAATTCCAAAATATGGAGTTGAACCATGCTGTTTGATCACATGGATTCTTTTGGAACGAGTGGTCAAACGGCAGGGTGATATGACAGAGCGAACAAAAAAAATAGGCTTCTCCTCTGTACTTCCAAATCTGTGTTCCAAATGATTTGTCATCAGGGTCCATCCTACGCGGTTATATTGTTCAACACAGCGGAAAACGTGTATCGGTATGTTGCTCGGTAAACCCTTCTAAGTGATTAACGGCAGTCAAGCTGTCCCTCTATTCAGTCGCACTAACACATTGATTCGTGAAAAAATCAAGCGAAACTTGATTCCCTGTAGTATACGAATTTGGAGAACCATTTTACTCACGTGTGGATATTACTTCAAGTCAGAGGAGGCCATTTTATCGAGATATTTCAAGCATGTACCCTGTGACAGTGGGTAATCACCACTGGGATTAGGTCATATGTCGTCAAAGTATTCATCACGTCCCAACGAATCTGAATGGGATCATATTGGGCGCCCGTGTCATGCTTAGGCACCACTTATCATTTGTTATTATTATTTAATTATTATCAATCTTATCTATCGTTGTGTCTCTCCAAAAGTATCGCTTTTGGTCAGTGAGACAACTGTCTCACAGGGACGTTGGAGACTGGAGTTCTCAATTGGTCGGAAGAAATTCATTCCTGAAATGAATTAGAGACAAAAACGTCCTAACGAGTTCTGTAGGCGCATTACTGCATCACCGATTCTGATTTGGAAGTTGATGGAGCTCTACTTCAGGGTTGTATAACTGAAAACCTCTGAGATGCTTGAAATAGGACGGAGTTTCAGTAGCCCACAATGTTGACAGATATAAACTATTTTGAAAAGTTTTCCATTTGGCACGATGAAACGGATACTACCGAGACCCAGAATCATCTTCCGACAAACCAACTGGCCACTTTTGAAATTTTTATTTTGGTAAAAGATATCCCAGCTATTTTTGCACATCGAACACACCCAAACTGGCAGTATTATCTGTTGATATGTCATTCAACATACTGACGTCACTGAAAGTCTCAGTTTCTTGATTTTTCGCACTCGAAGTGGTTTTTTAACCTTCTAAGTTGCCCTACTGGTCGGGCGTAAGAGGAAGTTTGGGGCGTAAGTGATTTCTCCTGCTTGATAAGTATGGAATATTCCTCGTTTGTGATCCTATCATTTGCTATTCTATCGTTGCATCGCCTGCATTTTTTGAAAGTAGCAGGTGAAACAGTCTGGTTTGATATCTGTAGGACAACAGAACTTCAGCAGTAGCTCCAGGAAAGAGATTACATGGCGTTGCGCAAAAGGGTCCTCATGTACCAAAACAGTAAAGCCGATGGTTTGACTCAAACGTTGAAAATGGTTAAGGAGCTATATGGGTTTCCGATAATCACCGATTATTTGTGTGCGTGCTTGCGTGTGTGGAGTAAATGCGGTAAGGGCATGTTGCCTCTGCCCTACAGACCGTCAATCAAGAAGTAAAAAACAACTATAGCGAACAGAAAGCGCAATCATTCCAGCAAACTTGAACAACGCAGAACGAACCAATCGAATTGAAGAAGGTGGATCAATAAAAAGTCGAAGCTATCATACGAACCGAGCCTTTGAACTGGAGACGAACACGGCGCAACAGAAATCAAAATAGGGCTGAAGTTACTCAAAGCAGCAATCGAATTCAAGGAATACAGACCATAACTCAACCTAATTCGAAACGAACCAGTGGGATTGCAAGGAAAAATGTGTTCCAGTTAACCAATCACAACAGAGATATAAACTAATCTTTGAAGACCACACAAACTCGGGCAGGTGAAGAGAAACCATCTATCTTATAATGTACCAACCATGTCACTCCGATCGGTGACGGAGAGTTTGCAGGCTAATCGACAATCTTGTAGAGCACGTCGAGGGCCACCTGCTCGATCACCAACGAAGGCAGCAGAACTACAAATAGCTTGATATATTTGCCATCAGCCACATCCCGACCCACTCGAAATAATGAGAGGTCTTTCCAGAGAGGCGGTTTCTCTGATCAACAAAGGATACTGGTCGTTGGCTTGTTGGCTGAGCTGGGCGATTTGGTTGCAAACGTTTTATCACCAATCGAGGTGACATCATCAGTGCGTTGAAAGAACTAATGTCAGAAAACGGAAAAACCGTATATTAAAATAATTTCAAAGTAGAACACCATACATTTACGGTTATTCCCGATACGAATTTGCCGTACAACCTAAAGCTCTGGCAAACGCGATCGTTCATGGTCGTCTGTACCACTGCATGATTGGAAGGCATAGCATCCAAGCCCTGGTGGAATGGGAACAGGGCAGATTGATAAAACTGGTGGAATCAGGACTTCAGAAATGGAGGGAGCTAGTGCAGCGAATATACAGAAGCCGTTTCATCTTGTACACAAAAGAGGACCCCTAGACCCTTGTTACCTAGACCATCCCAAAGTGAAATTATAGCATTTCACAAGAACCGAAGTCTTGACCGCTGGGATGGATATTTTCAACAGCAGTTTAGTTGGCTATCTGCCTCTACACCCACTCTCATTCAACCTATGGTCTGAGTTTAGACCCTTTCTCAGATTCCAAAGTGTTATTGCGACCTTCTGCCCTGACGTGCCAGACGACCGGAGGCTCCCATGAGTTTTTTCAAAGACGGCGGTGAATGGTCGTTGGCTTGTTCGCTGAGCTGGGCAATTTGGTTGCAAACGTTTCATCACCAATCGAGGGGACATCATCAATGCGTAGTTGTGCGTGGCGGTGGGTTTGTGGTTGTGCACAACCACACGCACTGATGATGTCACCTCGATTGGTGATGAAACGTTTGCAACCAAATTGCCCAGCTCAGCGAACAAGCCAACGACCATCTACGCTACCTGAGCTACCGACATTCTCCTCTATAGAAAACAAAGGATACTTCTTGTACGATACTTTGTTAATCGGTCCACAAGAAAGATGGTGTATTGGGTGATGCGTGACTAGTATATCGCTAGGCAGTGCGCGAGACCCTGAGAGCTGAGAGCCTGTTGTTAAACAGCCATATTTTTTTTTGCTTGGATCAACCTGCATGCACTCGATGCCAGACATACAAGATCGACGGGTTTAGAATACTAAGTATTATGGAGAAGGCACTTTCCCATCTCCTGATTCCCACACTATTCAACGGGGAGTTTGCTCAATTTGCTTGTACCTTCGCCTTTCTTCCCCCTTTTGGACTGATTTCCAAAAATCTCTCCTTCGAGAAAAAAAGGAAAGTTCACCTATGAAGACTACCTCCAGGCCAGCACTGCCAAAATCCGATGACAATTGCTCTTGTTTCAACGAACAAGCATGCAGATCATGGCGAACGCGTTTTCACAATCACAATTCGCCGATGCCTGTTCTATTCGTAAATTGGAATTTTTCGCATGTTCTCACATCCCTGCCTTGCATGTAATTTCATGGAGTTGCACCTTTATTCCACACCAAATGCCACCATACGTGGATAAGATGTATCCTTCTCGGAAGATAACTTGAATCAACACGTTTGTGTGGATTCGGACGCTGGAACCGGTCCATTCGACCGAACAGGTGGTTAAAACCCACCGCATATAGGCAAAACCCGACCTTTTACCACGGTGCAGCCGTCATGGGTTTTGTCAGGACAAGCAACGATGCACCGACCAGGTTGACCGATTCCGAACGGTTGTGTGGTACGCAGTGATAAGCTGGAGGTAGGAATTGGGCGGGTTCACGTGTCGGATACTTGGCAAGCTATAAAGAAAACCCGGTCCGGTCAGACAAGCCTTCCACAGGCAATTGAAATGGTTCCAGTCCAACAACTTCACACCCCCTCAAAACAGTTCATAGACGAACCAACATCCAACCATAAATCTCAAGAGTACTATTCGATTGCGTCTAGCTTTTTAAGAGACCAGATGACGCTTATTATCTGCGGTGCTGCGAAGGCCGAGTTGCTTTGATCCCCTCATTAGACCACTGTGAGGCTTGTTCGAAAGTGGAATTTCCTTAGACGGGAAGAAGTCATAAAACCAGGTTTCTGTTGAAGTAGAGAACAAAATAAAATACTTGGAGGACAAAAGGCGAACTTTTAGCACTATTTTTGTTTGTAGATCATATGCGGTGAAGTAGAAATGCGGAAGGAGCCATTGGTGAACGCTTTCCCAGACAATTTTGGATTCGAGGAATTGTTTCTTTTGTGCTCTGTTGAAGCGAAAGCACATCCTGGTTCGCCGGACGACTGAAGCATCCCCCAACAGAGACTTCGCCGACTGAAGCCGTTTGATTGGACTTGAAGTAACCTTAGAAAGTCCTATCCTTTAAGTAAAGGATAAGACAGAGCAGTCACCAAGAATCCGGTATATCTCGAGTTCCTAACAATAGTACATGCTTTTCTTGTTACGAAAGAATATGTTTATGTGATAACCCATCACACTTAACGGTTTTCTTTGAAGTCCTGTCAGATTGAAAAGTAGTTCTGTTTGATCTGGATGATAAGGCCAACGATCGTCATACTGGTTAACCAGGTTGAGAATAAAGGCAATAGTACATTCTTGTTACGAAAGAATATGTTTATGTGATAACCCATCACACTTAACGGTTTTCTTTGAAGTCCTGTCAGATTGAAAAGAAAAGTAGTTTGATCTGGATGATAAGGCCAACGATCGTCATACTGGTTAACCAGGTTGAGAATAAAGGACCACGTGAATACCGCTTCGAACGAATTAAAAAAATTCCATGCTAAAGCTATTAGCTAAGCAATTTGACTCAGAAATCATATGAGGCATCTTTCTCCTCGGTCCCCATCAGAGGCAAATTTTGAAATCCACCGAGGGTGTCTCTTGAAAAAAAGTGCCATTTTGTAATCTAGACAGAAGCCAAACTGGAGAGCTACCCTTCAAATCTGGAGGGCATGGTTAGATTTTTTGAGAGCGATGATATTGAAGTCACATAAAACAACAAAAGGTTTTTGCGCTAAAAACGAGATTTTTAGACCATAAATCGATTAAGCGTTTTCTTTTCATGTTTCGCTACTATTAACAAGGTTGATGAAATCCATGAACAGCCCATCGAAATTATGTCTACCACCGAGACCCATATATATATATATATATATATATATAT